GTCACATGGATAATCGGGTACTGTTCGCTGGCATTATAAACACTTTATCTAACACGTCATCGGTAGTCTACGGTAAGCGGGTTTTATTTTACTCTTTTGATTTGAGAAAAGTATATTATGAAAGGTCGTCGTTCTTATTGCAACGATCTAACTAATTCATTGTTGATGTAATTTTTACCATAACATCATAGTTTGTCTACATATTATTTTAGTGCATAATATAAAGGTAGGCATTATGTCTTATAAACACTTATATAATAATATGTTTGCATGTTAGCTTATATTTATCAGATACTATCAGAGTCATAAATTTAAAAAATAATACATATTACTTACCCACAATGGAGAAGATTCCAGTGTCATTTTTTTTTTTTATAGTAGCTTAAATCTTGTAAACCTTGATAACATGTAGTAAATACAAGCGGATTCATCCTTAGTCGTCCTTATTATTGTTCATACAAAGAACAATATTGCAATATTATATTATATATATGTACATATATATTTGCGTATGGTAGTTTCTTCCCAGGTTTGTAGATCTTGACGTATATAAACTGTAGTTCCATACTTTCTGCGGAAGGATGTAGATGCTAAATTGTATCCTTGGACTGTTCCTCTATTTGTAATCTGTCATGTGCATGTGTTTCCTGGAGTCGTTTAACTGAGATAACATTATCAAGGGCTATTCTAGAGAGTTATTCACTTTTGTTGCGAGTGATTTCTTCAATATTTAGTTGTAAGATGTGTAGTTGAAGGCCCACGTCCAGAGTCAGTTGGCCATGTTTTTGCGATGAGTAAAGCTGTTGTTGTTGTTGTTAATGTTGAAGACCAAAAGATCCATTATATAGCCAGTTCGGTCACCGTTATTGGTAAATCTTTGTCGTTTAGGACGTTGCCCGGGGTAAAATGGGTGGAAGCGATTTACCTATGTACCCCAATATTGCAATTTTTATTGTTAAAATAATTTAAGTGCAAAATTAAATCAAGCTTGGTTTTTAAATAAAATATATACTTAACCCTGTATGTTTTGTTATTTTCCTCCGTTTTTCTATGAATAATAATAACAACGTGTTTACATCCAATTAAAAAAATCTTTTATGGTCTTTTAGACAATACTGAAACGATAAATACTTATGTTCCAACGCTGCAAGTATTTTTTTTTTTTTTATCTAATTATTAAGTACCAATAAAAATAAACAGTTAGCAAGCGTCGAATTTAAAATACCATAATACTAAACATTAAATTTCCTAAACAGACGATTTAAAATACGTAATTAAAAATGTAATGTGCTTTAATTGATTATAATCAAGGCTGTGAATTTAATGCATTTGTATGTTTTTTTTGCTACACTTTATAAAAAAATGGATTCGGCTAAAATTTGTTTTGACTTATTTGTAGTTCAAATACCAAATTTTACTTTGCATATTTTTGCATATTTCATGGGTTAGGACATAAAAATGCATGTTTTAATAATTTTTTTGTTTAAATGCTTTTTTTTGTAATATTTACATTTTTTCGGTCAATCTTATAGTATAAACTATAATTTTTATAGTTTTATCGAAATTATTCTATTTTTACAAACAGTACTGAACAAAAACAAACGGTTTCAAATTATGTGTAATATTTCAAGAATATTAACTGGCGAAAAAATGACGTAGATTTAGATATACCAGAAGATTTAACCAGTAGCGACATGACGTATTTCAAGTGTGCCCCAATAACTTCGTCAGACGTAGAACGCCCCTTTTCTTTATATAAAACTTTGTTGGCACCAAACAGAATATCTTTCAAGTTCAAAAACCTGAAGAAATCATTGGTTGTTCAATGCAATAACTACTTTAAAGGTAAAATATATCATTTTAATTATATTTAATTATATTACTTATATAATTTATATTTCTTTTATAGATCTTGTATACGATGAAGACCAAGACTAGTTAAGATCAATAACTCATATACTTATACCAAGAAGTAATAAAAATACTAATATTTAAACTAAAATTAATAAAAAAAAAATTATACTAATGAAAAAAATAAAAATAAAAGTTTAATTTTTATAGTTTTTTTTTTGCATATTTTATGAATTTTTAGAGCATATTTTGTCAGATTTTAGTGCATATATGCATGCATATTTAATAGTTTTTAAGTGCATTAAATTCACATCCCTGATTATAATATATAAATATTATTATATTGTGACATTATGCAAAATAACATGAATGATGGCGACATAAACATAAGGCTGGCCGCAGCAAACAAATGCTACTTTGCTGTAACCACAATTAATTAGATCCTAATTAATATTAAAAAAAACAAAAAAGCAACTATATATTAGCTACGTGAGACCAGTCCTTCATTCTTTCTTATCCACCTGTGCCACTCGGGAAACCACTAAAGGTGATGAAGAAAAACTCCTAAAATTTGAGAGGGAGATACTTTGAAAAATACATGGCCAAATTTAGACTACCTAAGAGCAGAAATGAGAAATCAAATCAAATAATCAATTAAATGTACTTTATAAATGGTAAAATGTGGTTCATTTCATTATAAGATCACAAGGCAAAAAACTATGATATAGCTCATGTAGTCATAAGAAGTTGACTGGAACATGTTGGATAACAGAAAAGAATGAAAAGACTTAGGTAATTTTAGCAGCCAAAAAACTACATGGCTTGTAAAGCTAAAAAAAATGTCATTATTTAAATAAATGTAGGTATTATTTCTAAAGTTAAGAAAAATGTTGGCAATTTTGAATTTAAAAAAATCTGTTTGTGCAGCAAATCACTTACGATTCATTGGTCATTATATAGTTTTTAAAATATTAATGATTTTAAACTGTATTTAAAACACACATTAATATTAAAAATATAGAATTCATATGACTTTTTAACTTATTCAGGTACTATAATAATTACATTTTCGTAAACTAGCTTTATAGCCCGTCTCCCGCACCAGCTTTGGAAGTATCACACAGATAAAATTGTATTTTAAATTCAATTAATGAGATTATTGTATTCGGACATTTTCGGTGGGGGGGGGGGGGGGCTTGAGCCCGGAAACCACCCCTAGCTACGGCACTTCAAGTGCAGGTTGAACCACTGTTGGATGCATCTCATTCGCGAATGCTGATTTACAGGGCTTTGGATTCTCTGCCGCCTCCCTATATATATTATACGAGTATACACCCTGCACCACCGGCAGTTTTGGGTTAACGACATAACGTCATTATATCGCCACCGACACATTATGCGTTTGCGGACCCGAAAAGAGTTATAAAGATATTATATTTTATTTCCATCATCGACGACGGCGGTGACTAATGGCGGCTTACATTCCGTTCGCCCTTCGTTACGTCATATTATATTTAAAACGATTACCACCGTTGCGGAACCGCAAAATGTCGAAATCCGATGTAATTATATTTACATTTCCAAATAATAAATAACAGATAAAAAAAAATAATAACCAGAAACAGAAACGCCGGTCATCGTTTCGATTCGTTCAGGTCATGTGACTTTAAATAATCGAACCACGCGACCGAAAACAAATAACAACAAAAAAAAACGAATTTTTAAAGAAACACGCGCGCTGCACCGGCCAACTGCATTGCAGAAAACAACTGCATATTATATATGTAATATAATAATAATAATACATAATAAAATAAACTATAAATATAAAATAACACAATATTCCACCCCTGACCACCCGCCGCCACCGCAGTCTCGCGCGCGCGTCCGGTTTAGCGATTTGGGGTTGAACTTCACCCTGTATATCTACAATATTATATAATAACGCGGACGATCGTAAAACGTTATTTATATACACTCTAAAAATAATAGTGATTTCATTTCGTTCTCATTTTTTATTTTTTTTTTGAAAAATAAAATACACTACCACTCCTCCGCGTTTGGTCAACGGATCATTTGTTCCGGGTATATCGCGACGAACGACTGCGCAGTATACTATGACTATATACACCGCATGTACGTGTACAATAATAATAATAATGATAATATATATTATATTATGTACCCTCGCCGAGGGGTTTGTATTACAGTGAAAAACTTATATGCACTTATAATGGTCTTCCGCCGCCGTCACGGGGTAATATGTCTTGCGTACGGCGGTTGAACGCGGTAAAAATATAGGAATAAAAAACAATCGAAATTCGAAATTTAACTGTTCGGAATGAAACGCGGATCCGGCGCGTGTGATATAAATATATGTTATTATTATTATTATTAAAATATATTACGGTGGAAAACCCATAAAATAAATAACATTCAAACGGATTGAAAAATATGATATTATTATTGTGATATTAAGCGACAGCCGATCGAGTATAACATTATAGTATCATATCATGTGAGATTTGTACTCTGTAGACACATTAAATTATATGCACAATATTATATATTGGTACAGATCGCGCGTGAGTGATATGAAATTTAAGAATTTCTATAACTGTAAATCAAATCGATTTTGGATATTATTCACTATTAGTCGGTAATGACGAGGGAATTGACGCGACGGATGCGAATGCAGTAATTTTTAGAAGACTTCATCAACGGATCTCGCTTGCAGTACGTCACGATGACAAAATTGTAAAACCGAGTTTTATGCATTTATTTAATCAAATACAGACGAGCTGCACCGTTAAAATCATTGACTGGTTACAGAAATAACAGAGTCAATTTTTTTCAATATTTATATTATATATTATTAAAAATCATATTCGACAAAGTCGATTTAGTTTTTTGGATTATTCGAACGTTGGCTGTAATTATTTGGCGTTGAGTTTATTATTTTTTTGGATGTACCTATACATTTGTTTGGATATAGTAACTATGTAATAATGTATTTAATTATTTCAATATTATGAATGAGATTATTTTATTTGTATCCAAACGTAATAGCCGACTTTAACGATAGGGTTTTTTTTACTAAAAAGCGAACTGACCAGAATTTATTTATTTGCTTTTAATGAATATAATAGATGGACAACGATAAGTCTGTAGAAAACAATCAGCGTCTTAGTGCGTATGTAGACTTTATGACTAGCAGGACCGAGTTAAACAGTATCGAAGAAGATAGTGATAGAAACATCCACGGTAAATCGTCAGATGATGTCGACAAATTTGAAATATTCAACAGTGCTTTTAGAAAACTCGAAAATGACGCGAATAATAAGGCGCTTTACAAAAGCATTAAGGTGGAAATAAAAGAGCTGTCGTCTATAAAATTTCAACTATTGACTAAAGGCAGACAGAGGACTCATGACAAAAATCTTAAACAGGAAATTTACTGGGCCACAACGGAGAAACGCGCCGACGAAGAAATGTCCGCAAGCAGCAAAGTAGAAAAGCTATCGTTTAAGGACGTATGGGAAGACCTGCTACCTTTGAAATCTACCAAACAATTCTGTAAGTATTTGACAGACAGCCCAAATTTGGAAAAACCGAAATATCTCGTGGACGCCGGGTTTTTCAACAACATTCAGAATACGAGAAAAAAGAAAATTAAACCTGCACCTTTACACGACAAACATACAAGGTTATTTTTCCCTCGTTTCTAGTCTCTTTTTAGCTGTTGAAAAAACGACGTCTACGAGATTTTTTTGTGTTCTCTAAATCCAGGTTGTCCTGTACAGGATTCTTTGGTACTATTCGGTGTAGCGGGTCTTCCCATAGTCATATTATGTCCTGAAACGATAACTTTGGTTGCAGACATTTCATCGACGCGTTTTTCCGTTGTGGCCCAGTTTTAGTTTTATTTCCAGCTTTAACTGATTATCACAAAATTTAGTATTGTGCCTACTTTTAGCCAATCGTTGGTCATTTTACCTTAATATTTTACTTTAAACATATTATTACATTCAGTGAGCGCACTGAACAACTATAATATGTTAACCATTGTAAAAAAAAATTTTATGTTGAACTGTGGATTATAAATAATAAAACAATTAATAAACATTGAATGGTAAATATAATTGATTAATAATTATTTCACCTGTTGTGTCAGGATTGGGGGTATTATGACTTACTGGTGACAAATTTGTCAGGATAATATCTATACAAGCGACATCTATTAGTCATATTATAATAATATGTAACATATTAAAATTAATTTCTATTTTTATATTTATGCATGAAAGCATGATACAACACAAATAATGTTTTTTCATGTACAAATACACTTATCGTTACCTATACATTGAAACTCAGTTGCAATCACACTTGCTTTTAGCTGATACCTATTTTATTCTATAATATCATTTGCATTATATTCTATAATATTATTTATATAAACTATACATCTATACGAATACTGTTTAATTTAATTTATTTACATATTGATAGTGTGTAACTAATCCAACCTAAGTTAGTAAGTAAAGAGTTTGTTAAAGTATAACATCAAATAATTTATAATGTAGTCAGTAAGAATAAGAAAAACTATTAAGCGCAAACCGTAATAATATTGTAATCACTGCATAGGTACCTAAATAAAAAAACCAACAACAAACAAACAAGTTGGTTATACAATACTTGCACATAAGCCTAATATTAGTCTTTATCTCTTACGTTCCCGCAGACTTGTCGACCATCAAATATATATTATAATTTATAATTCCCTGACTAGTGGCAGAGAATATAAATGTCCGTTGGTCAATCACCGGGAGACACGAACCTATTCGTCATTACCGAACACATCATGAGCGCTGAAATAATATTACATAGGTATAGACAATTCATACTGTAAACTATATAATCATAGTATTATTATAGTACGTTATAAATAATTATAACATGCTCGAGACTATATTCTTGCGTTCTTGGATATTACGACGGAACTACTCGACCAAGCAGCTAAGCACACACCACACACACACAAATTTAAAAGTTTTTTCTTTTCCTTTGTATAACAGTCGTTTGGTGTCAGTCAGGCACAAGCATTTATGTCTGGTGGAATAAATTGTTTGTTTTACATTGTTTTAATTATTCAGGATTGTGTTCAATCGAGCAGGCGAGTTTTCAAAGGAAGAGTTATTTGTATTTGTGCGACCTAGTTATCAAAGGAGTAAGTGCGGTGAAAATAGATTGTTGTGATAGGATTTTGTTTTAGCCACTATCTTGATGACTTTTCCCGATGTCTTGATATTTTAGACACCGTGACATTGAAAAAAGGATTCTCGTAGTATCAAATTACTAAGTTAGTAATACTAACCTATCTTCTAAACTATCTTCAATCCACACTCTGATTTGACTTGACATCCAATCCAGAGCTTCTCAATCGTTCCCTCCAAGTCTCGATCATATCTCAGACTGGAGAGAGTTCTATTTAGAAATCAACGAATCTGGTCAACGAAACTTCAAACAACACAATGATCTTATCAACCGAAAAATTACATTTTTCTCCATAGGTAAAGTTGGGAACATAATCCAGAGGCTCTCAACCCCTAAAGTGCCAGGTCCACATGCAGGTCTGCTCATCGAAGCACTGTAAGCCTAAGCCAGTATTTTAAATCTACTAACTATTTAATAGATGCTTCTTAAGCAAATACTTCTCTAAAGCAAGGCCACAAGCACACATTATAATGACTCCAATATCAGACAATCTAAGAAATAATAGGCTAATTTTACTTCTAAGCGCCTTATGTAAGTCTTTGAAATACTTTTGCTAAACATTAAATATAAACAAAATCTATTCAACCTCAAAACTTTGCCCAAAACAATTTGGATTCAGACTCCAACACTACTTTAGAACTGTCAACCTTAACTTTGTAGATCAACTTGCTACCAACCATAACAAAAAAAAAACAGCTTCAGTAATATAAATCGGCAAGAAAGCCTTTGACAAAGTGTGGCAGAACATTCTAATTTATAAACTAATTTTATAATGCAATTATCATCAAACTCATAAACTTGACAAATTCATCCACATCTAGTTGAACCTTTCAGGTCAAAATAAATTCAATAACATCCACGGTCCACTATCAGTAACTTGACTCTATACATGCATCAAAAAACAAATCAAAGCAAAATACGACAGGCAAAAAAAGCATAAACTTAATAACTCCGCCCAAGCTAGGCATACCTATTATCTGAAAATGTGGGAAATTTTTTTGAATATTGGACTCGCTTTTTTATCCTGTTTATTGATTGACTGTGCACTTTTGATTTTTAAATAAAAATCTAAAACTATGATTTTTAAATCCTATGCACAATAGTTGCATATACGATTTGATGTACCTAAGTATATACTATTGTATGCATATCAAATGATGAATAAGTTTCTTTTTTTAATTATTAAAATAAATATAATATATAAGTAGTCTAAATTTTAGATATGGACGAATTACAAATGCATCACAAATTTAAACTTCACTCTTCTTATATTAACTCAATCACTCTATATCCCATGTTTCACACTTCAAATTTTTTAAAAACGGCGTCATACACGAGGAAAAAAAACAAACAAGGAGTGAAAGAAAAAAAATATTATAGAATCGCTTGTACATTAAATTGTCCAAAAACGAAATGGCTGAAAAAATGATATCGAGTACCATTGAAAAGCTAAGAAATTATTTTTTACGAATACGTGCTGGTAAAAAATTAAAATGTTCAAACGCAATAATAATAATATGTACGTATATTATAACCGGTGTTGGGGCTTTCCGTGTAATTAAACGGCCGTTATTGGCCGGCAAGCAGACGCGTAATACAATAGGTACAACACCAGACGAACCGCGGGGGAGGAGTGAAGAAAACAAAAAATACTAATAAAGAGGAAACGAAAAAAATCGTTCGAAAAGAATAAAGAGAAATAAACCGCAAAATCTCGACGATACGTCATAGCCACCGCCGTGCATAATAATAATAATAATAATAATAATAATAATAATAAAGACCACTAGGGATAAACGGAACGTCCGGAACCGCGGTAATAACAATATATTTATGAAAAGGCTGAGCAAACACTGGTTGATCTCTCTACAATATTATATACGATAATATACACGAGGATACCGGTCGTAAATATGTGTGTGTGTGTGTGTGTGTGTGTGTGTGTGCCGCGTACGTCAATACATCAAAAGGCCGCGGACAAAAAGAGTAGGCCGCCCGCACCACAGCCCTTTCCGACGAAAACCATCACTCGCCGTCGCCGCCGCCGCCGCGGTCTCTGGGGCTTTTCCGCCGCTGTGAAATCCTCGCAGCGGTCCCGCGGGTCGGCTCTTTATCCTGCAGGGCCCCACCGCCGTGCTCTCTTATACTTTTTTTTAATTATCCTTGCTCGGCCCGAACACTACTGTTCTTCTTCCATATACATACCATAACCTTTGTTGACTTCGGTTACAGAGACGGCGGCGGCGGCGGTACATTATATTTTATATATTATAATATTGTGTGTGCGATCTACGCGGTCTTTTCGATATCGTGCTGAGCGCGGGGCAATCTCGGCCACGGATTTCACTACCTAGGGCATAATACCTATTATACATGTATATCTATGTGTACCCGAGGTATAAAGTATTATAATATTATGATGGGAAAAGAGAGCGTATACGACGTCGTTTATTTTGTTTTTCCTCCGCCGCGAAAAATCCAAATTAATGAGAATACGACCTCAAAGTGCGTTTATAGTATATTGTACCTTCGATGTATAATAACTCGAGCACCCCCGTCGAGTTCTCAAATATAATAATATTATAATACTTCGGCGTCCGACTGACCGCTGCACGCGTGGGCTGTACAATTAAAATATTTCAATCTCACGCTAAACATACGCAGTTGGTGTCATTGCTATTTTTCCTATAATATTAACGTAGGTACGATTTAAGATTATAATATTATGGTGTACGTCATACGAATGAAATTAGGATTTCGTTGGAAGACCGTTAATATTTCTAACATTTTAATAATATTATATTTAATATGACGGTGACCTAATACTATAACTATATTAAATGATTAATTATTAATAAATTATAAGGGGCGAGGTGGTAATAGTATAAGTGTGCTACCACGAAAGACGTTTGCAGCTTGTGATACGCTATACAAATATATAGTCGTGCTGGTTGATAATTATTATTTCTGGGGAGTTTCTGATTTGAAAAAAAAATGTAACCATCAATAGACAGCTGAATAAGCCAATCTATCTGAATAAACCAATCTACCCACGCCCAAGTGGAGCATCTTCTTTATTTTATTTAGCACAGTTTATCCATCATATAAACCAGAGAAAAATCCTTTTTCGAAAATAGTCTGGCCTAGTCGGCCATGGAGACTTATTATTATAGAGCTAAGATTTTAATGACCTGTAAAATACACAAGAATGCACTAAAAAAATGTACTTAGATGAGCGAAAAAAAATAAATGTTATTATTAATTATGAACATAATAGACTTGTGAATGTAACCGCTTCCTGATATAATTATTCTGAAAAATCAATAAAAGCATAAATTAAAATAATTTAATGAAAAATATATCATATTTTTTTTTCACCTATACACATATTATTGCGTTGCACAATTAGATGATTCATAAGATTTTCAAACAGGAAGCTGCGACGGCGGTCAGATAAAATGTTTTTATATGAAGAAAAACTTCGTTCAACGTCCAGATAAGTAACAGGGGCATATTTGAAATGAACCATATCATTTAAAGTAAGGTCTTCCGGAAAACCATCTCTATTTGTTGTATTTTCTCCGTCTAAAATAGCAGATATATTTACAAAAAAGCAACATACCGTCCGTAGAAAAAATATCGGCACCAAACTCGCACACAAAACAACGTAAACGGCTTCCTATAAACTGTTGACTTAATTGTTGGCATTTTGTATAGTTAACATTGGTAGAACCACATACAGGTACGTGTCGAATTCACAACTAAAGCTACTATTGTATACCGAAATAGTTATGGGTTCATTATATGTTTAATCTTATCGGATAAATCGTCAATTAATTTTATTACTTTTCCAATATCAATGGACTGGAGTGGGTAAAATCGACTAATTGGGATTATCTTTACAACACATATTAAAAAAGCTTAAAATAAACAAAATGAAAGTAATATTTGTAATATCTGTAATATTACGTAAAAATGACCTTAAAAATGCAATAAAATGCATTTAACGCAAAAAATGCAAAAAATTCAAAATAATAATTACATATTTTAAATTGTTATATTACGAAACAAATTAAGTTTTTGGTTAGAATTGTACAACACTTAGAAAAAAAATATGCAAAAGTCACGAAAATCCTAGCTCTACTTATTATACATTATAATAATTTTTGTTTTATAAATGACGCCGCCGCCTATATCGGATCACCTTTTAACTTCTTTTTTCTCTATTTCGACAGACGGCGAAAGGTCAATATTAAACATTATATTATTATAATCATGATGTCATATTGTCAACGGGCCGATCGGAAAGTGCCGCGATATTATCGAAATGTCAAGTCAAAGGGTAGTGGCCAACGTGTATATTTAAATTATATAATATTATGGAGCATATATTTCTGCTTAGTATAAGTTTCGTTCATTCCCCGGAGGAACAGAAATCGATATTATTAAACTCAACATTTTTTTAAAGGATGTGACAAAGAGGTGGGCGGAACTCTTCTTCGCTACTTTTCGAGCTCATATTCACTAATATTTTTTAGTAAAACAAAAAATATACACGAAATATTGTTTGTTAGACTCATATATATCTAATTTTAAACATTTACACCATTGTCATTAACTAAGTTATCGATAACGTTAATATTGAAAATTGACTTCAATTTTTTTTTATATATATTCCTATTTAACTGTTGAAAACGTTACAAGTCTGACTTATAAGCTACTAATTTAGAAATTCGAATACACCGTTATTGCAACAGTAATGCATGTTATGAAAAATCTAGTATAAAAAAGTGTTACCATCTCAGACATTAGCACCTTAGCTAGATGATGGGTTGGGCTTTAGGGCTTAAGCCCCTCACCCTCGAAAAAAAATCCTGACTAATTTACTGCCAGACATATACCTACCTGTGACAGTCAATACTAATACAAATATACAATAGGCCTTTACTGAATGTCTGGAATACTGGCTAATGACCATCCCAGACATACGTCATTAAGGGTAACAACTACCAGTTGTGAATTTCCGATTAGATACATGACGTATTATTTTGTATTTGTAATTATTATATACATACCTACATAGATAACATAATATTATTTTGTAAGAGATGATGAATTAATTTTAGGTGCATATACATAATTTCAAATTTGCGTACTATTTGATGGTGTGGTGTAATACCGGACAGAATTAACGAGAGAAGAGGTGTGTGAACAAGCTATCCAGAACAAATAAGAGTGTTGAATTTCGATACGCTAATACAGTCGAGTCTCAATTACTCGAATTTCGAGGGAACAAAAATAAATTCGACTAAATATATATTTTTTGAGTTATTCGTCTAAAACTCACTCAACTCTAAGACACTACAATGACAATAAAAA